TAGGAGCCGAGGATTAAATGTCCTTCTTGGGATGCGGCCCCATCTTCTCTGTATGCGGCCACATGCGGCTGTGTGTCATCAAAAATGGCTACGCGTGTCAGTGCTGACACACGTCATAGGTTCACCATCATGGTCCTAGACACTTGGGAAGTGTCCGACGTGTGTCTGCTGTGGACTCATCTTGTGTTTCAAACAACAACAACAACAACAACAATCTTTATTATTATATAATATAGCAAGGTTGCTTGTGGACTGGATGAGGGCGAACAAATTGAAATTGAATCCAGACAAGACAGAGGTACTCCTGGTCAGTCGCAAGGCCGAACAGGGCATAGGGTTACAGCCTGTGTTGGATGGGGCCGCACTCCCCCTGAAGACGCAGGTTCGCAGCTTGGGTGTGACCCTGGACTCATCGCTGAGCCTGGAACCCCAGGTTTCGGCGGTGACCAGGGGAGCATTTGCACAGCTAAAGCTTGTGCGCCAGCTGCGCCCGTACCTTGGGAAGTCTGACTTGGCCACGGTAGTCCACGCTCTGGTTACATCCCGCCTAGACTACTGCAATGCTCTCTACATGGGGTTGCCCTTGAAGACGGCCCGGAAGCTTCAATTAGTCCAACGTGCGGCAGCCATGATTCTAACAGGAGCGGAACGCAGGGAGCATACAACCCCCCTGTTGCACCAGCTCCACTGGCTGCCGATCTGCTACCGGGCTCAATTCAAGGTGCTGGCGTTGGCCTATAAAGCCTTAAACGGTTCCGGCCCAAGCTACCTATCCGACCGCATCTCGGCCTATGAACCCACCAGGACTTTGAGATCTTCCGGGGAGACCCTGCTCTCAATCCCGCCTGCCTCACAAGCACGTCTGGCAGGGACGAGAGATAGGGCCTTCTCGGTGGTGGCTCCTCGGCTGTGGAACGCCATTCCCACGGACATTAGACTAGCACCATCTCTAATGGTATTCCGCAAAAAAGTGAAGACCTGGCTGTTTGAGCAGGCGTTCCAATAATTAGTGCAATGATTGGCAATGAACATAGGAATGGAACAATGGATGACGAATCTGGAACATGTTTTTGATGACGAGACGACAGTGAATGGGTATTGTAGTAACTGTTTATTAATTGTGTAATGTGTTAGGTTGTTAACTGTTTTTTACACTGTAGCATTGAATTTTTGCTGTTCTGATTTGTTGTGAACCGCCGTGAGTCGCCTTCGGGCTGAGAACAGCGGTATATAATTAAAGTAAAGCGGTATATAAGTAAAGTAAACGACTCCGGCCCTGTTTACCTCTCTGAACGTATTCTCCCCTACGAACCATCAAGATTACTAAGATCATCTGGAGAGGCCCTGCTGTCGGTCCCACCAGCCTCGCAAGCGTGGCTGGTGGGGACGAGGGACAGGGCCTTCTCGGTGGTGGCCCCACGACTCTGGAACTCTCTCCCTCTGGAGGCCAGAACCGCCCCATCCATCCTAACATTTAGGAAACGGGTGAAGACGTGGCTGTGGAGTCAGACCTTCGAGGAATGAGACAACACCATAGGACTCTGGATGGAAGTGGATATAGATCCATCTTATTAGGACGACTGACCACTGTAGTTTTATATTTAGTGTTTTTAAAGTTGTTTTGTAATTTGTGATTATATGATATTTTAATGAATGTATATGTTTTTATGGCTGTAAACCGGGCTGAGTCCCTCAACGAGGTTGAGAAGCTCGGTATACAAAACTGTGAAATAATAATAATAATAATAATAATAATAATAATAATAATGTAAATAAATAATATTTATACCCCGCCACCATCTCCCCAAAGGGGACTTGGGGCGGCTAACATGAGGCCAAACCCAAAATATAATACAGGAAAGTAAAATACACATTTATACAAATAACATCAGAGGGACCTCACAACCTCTGAGGTTGCTTGCTATAGATGTGGGCCAAACATCAGGAGAGAATGCTTCTGGAACTTGGCCAGACAGCCCAGAAAACACACAACAACCCAGTGTTTCCAGCCATGAAAGCCTTCGACGATACATTGAACAATCTCTTATTTTTTCCCCGTTTGGACAGAGGGAGAAGAAGAAGAAACTCAAAGAGAGATCAGACAAGTGTGCAGCTTTCCATCCTCCTCCTCCTCCTCATTCCTGCTGGCTTCGGAAAGGGAAAAACAAGGGGGGGGGGGGTTGAGGATGATGACTCAGAGGGATCCTCCTCCTAAAGGGAGCATCATCGGGGGCCCCTTCCTCCTTTCTTTCTCCCTCCATCCATCCATCCATCCATCCATTCCTCTGGCCCCATCTCCGTCTTGCGCTGTCTGGAGAGGCAGACACAACAGCCACCATCGCAAGGAAGCAAAGCCCCCCTCCGATGATCCCTGCAGGTACTGGGCAAAGGGGAGGGGGTGTTGGGAGAAGTGGGGTGGGCATAGTTTTGTTTGGGGGGGAACGGTTGCTGAGCCTTCCTTTGGCAAAGAGGGGAGGGAAAGAATCCTGAACGGGAACCGGACGGGACCCCCGATGCCCCCTTTTCAAAAAAGGAGAGGGATGAATGGGAATGAAACAGATGCGCTTCTCCTTCCAGTGACATAAGAGGAGCATTAACCTCCTGTTGCCTGTCTCCCCCACTTCCAAAAAAAAGAGCCCAAAAATGGTTTAACAGGCCACACCGCATCGCTGCAGGCATACCCTCACTAACACCTCATAACAACAACAACAACAACAACAACAACAACAACAACAACAACAACAATAGAATAATCTTATATATAAATCAATATGTAATGTTTGTTTGTGGGATTAACATAACTCAAAAACCACTGGAGAAATTGACACCAAATTTGGACACAAGACACCTACTAAGCCAAGGAACGACCATCACTCAAAGAAATTGATTTTGTCATTTGGGAGTTGTAGTTGCTGGGATTTATAGTTCACCTACAATCAAAGAGCATTCTGAACTCCACCAATGATGGAATTGAACCAAACATGGCTCACAGGACTCCCAATGACCAAAAGAAAATACTGGAAGGGTTTGGTAGACATTGATCTTGAGTTTGGGACTTGTAGTTCACCTACAAGTTTGATAGACATTGATCTTGAGTTTGGGACTTGTAGTTCACCTACACCCAGAGAGCACTGTGGACTCAAACTTGGCATGAATATTCCATATGCCCAAATATGTACAAAGATGGGGTTTGGGGGAAATAGACCTTGACATTTGGGAGTTGTAGTTACTGGGATTTATAGTTCGCCTACAATCAAAGAGCATTCTGAACCCCACTGACAATGGAATCGGGCCAAACTTGGCACACAGAACTCCCATGACCAACAGAAAATACTGGAAGGGTCTGGAGGGCATTGACCATGAGTTTGTGAGTTGTAGTTCACCTACACCCAGAGAGCACTGTGGACTCAAACAATGATGGATCTGGACAAAACTTGGCATGATTATTCCATATGCCGAAATATGAATACAGAGGGAGTTTGGGGAAAATAGACCTTGATATTTGGGAGTTGTAGTTACTAGGATTTATAGTTCTCCTACAATCAAAGAGCATTCTGGACCCCACCAACAATGGAATTGAGCCAAACTTGGCTCACAGCACTCCCATGACCAACAGAAAACCACTGGATAAATTGACACCAAATTTGGACATGATACACCTAACAACCCAAGGTATGTCCTTCACTCAAAAAAAATTGATTTTGTCATTTGGGAGTTGTAGTTGCTGGGATGTATAGTTCGCCTACAATCAAAGAGCATTCTGAACTCCACCAATGATGGAATTGAAACAAACTTGGCACACAGTTCTCCCATGACCAACCGAAAATACTGGAAGGGTTTGGTGGGCAGTGTCCTTTGGTTTTGGAGTTGTAGTTCACCTACCTCCAGAGAGCACTGTGGACTCAAACAATAACGGATCTGGACCAAACCCTACACAAATACTCAATATGCCCAAATGTGAACACTGGTGGAGTTTGGAGAAAATGGAATCTTGACATTTGGGAGTTGTAGTTGCTGGGATTTGTAGTTCACCTACAATCACAGAGCATTGTGAACCCCACCAACGATAGAATTGTGCCAAACCTTCCATGTGGGCCACAGCAATGTGTGGCAGGGGACAGCTAGTCCATATAAATAAAAATGCAATGTTCGTTTGTGGGAATGACATAACTCATTAACCACTGGGCAAATTGACACCAAATTTGGACACAAGACACCTCTCAGGATAACGAGTAACCAACACTCTGAAAAACACAGCAGAAGGGACTTAGAAAAAAAAAAACACCCCAAAACATACATTACAACGCATGCACAAAACCACACACACACAAACACACACATATATATGCAAACACACCCATATACACACATATATATACACACACACATGTAGACACACACACAAAATACAGATACACAGACTGGACCACAGCAACGCGTGGCAGGGGAGGGCTAGTATATAAATAAAAATGTAATGTTCGTTTGTGGGATTAACATAACTCAAAAACCACTGGAGGAATTGACACCAAATTTGGACACAAGACATCTACTAACCCAAGGAGTGACCATCACTCAAAAAATTATGATTTTGTCATTTGCGAGTTGTAGTTGCTGAGGTTTACAGTTCACCTACAATCAAAGAGCATTCTGAACTCCACCAATGATGGAATTGAACCAAACGTGGCCCACAAGACTCCCATGACCAACTGAAAACACTAAAAGGGTTCACCTACATCCAGAGAGCACTGAGGACTCAAGCAATGATGGATCTGGACCAGGACTCCCATGACCAAAAGAAAATACTGGAAGGGTTTGGTAGACATTGATCTTGAATTAGGGACTTGTAGTACACCTACACCCAGAGAGCACTGTGGACTCAAACAATGATGGATTTGGACCAAACTTGGCATCAATATTCCATATGTCCAAATATGAACACAGATGGAGTTTGGGGAAAATAGACCTTGATATTTGGGAGTTGTAGTAACTGGGATTTATAGTTCATCTACAATCAGAGAGCATCTACAAATGTTCGTTTGTGGGATTAACATAACTCAAAAACCACTGGATGAATTGACACCAAATTTGGACGCAAGACACCTATCAGGCCAACGAGTGACCATCACTGAAAAACATAGCAGAAGGGACTTAAAAAGCCAAAACATAAAAATACACTACAAGGCATGCACAAAACCACATATATATTACGCAAACACACATATACACAAATATATACACACACATAACACTCACAAAGTAGATATACACAGACTGGGTCACAGCAACATGTGGCAGGGGACGGCTCGTAATAAATAAATAAATAATATCTATAGAAATCAAAATGTAATGTTGGTTTGTGAGATTAATATAACTCAAAAACCACTGGAGGAATTGACACCAAATTTGGACACAATACACCTCTCAGGCCAACGAGTGACCATCACTCATAAAAACACTGAAAAACACAGCAGAAGACACTTAAAAGCACCAAAATTAAAAAATACATTACAACAGACCTCACTACCTCTGAGGATGTTTGCCATGGATGCAGGCAAAACGTCAGGAGAGAATGCCTCTAGACCATGGCCATATAGCCTGAAAAAACCTACAACAACCCAATTATTATTATTATTATTATTATTATTATTAGTGTCATTCTGACTGTATATGCTCTCCTTTCTCTCCAAAGGGAGCCATGGAGCTTCACCCCCCGCACACCTGTGTGGTGGCCGTGGTCATCGTCTGCACCATGGGAGCCATGGACGTCTACCTGGTGGAGCAGAGTGCTGGGGCCCGTCGGCTGGGCGTTGGAGCCCTGGCGCTGGCTGGGGACCTCTTCTTCCTGCTGGCGCTGCGTTATGCCACGGCATGGGTGGGTGGTGAGGCCCGGCAGGCCCAGCGGGGCTATGCCATGGTCCTGTGGTTCCTTTTTGCATTCGCCTTGGAGATCAAGCTCTACTTCATCTACCAGCATTACGCCACGGAGGTCCGGGTGCCTGATCCGCTGGCCCGGCGCACCCTCACCCTTCTGCTCTCCGTATGCATCCCAGCGCTCTACACAGTGTTAGGAGCCGCCGAGTTGGTAGCCCAGGCTGCCGCTAGTTTTCGGAAGAAAGATGAACTCCGTGGGCGTCTTTTTTGGGTGGTGCTGGACCTGCTGGACGTGCTGGAGATCCAGGCCAGCTTGTGGGAACCACAAGGGCGGGTGTTGCCCTTGTGGGCCGAAGGCTTGACCTTCTTCTACTGCTACGGGCTGCTGCTCGTCCTGCCTTGCGTGTCGTTGAATGAGCTGGGCGTGTGCGGTCCGCAGCCGGACACGCTGTACCCGCTGTTGAGCCTGGCCAGCGTCAATGTGGCCACCATTTTCATCCGTGGCGGGCTGTTGCTCCTCTGCCGCGACCAGCGCATCTCCTCCATCTTCATGGGGAAAAACGTCCTCGCCATCGCGTTGAAATGCTGCGCCGCGCTTCAGCACCATCAGCGGCACAAGAAAGACAAACCAACCCACAGACAGAGTCCGCAGCTCCAGAGACACATTGGAACGACAGGGGAAGTATGTCCTGGTCACACGCCTCAAGGATGTGCCAGACACATCACAGACGAACAACTGCATGTCAAATCCCCACCCAGGCATCTCCAGGAGGGAGAAACACATTGCCACACGCAACCCGTATGCCATCAGCTCCACAGCCACTGCCCGGTCAGAGCCCAAAGTTGGCATCATGGACATGCACAACAATCCTCCCCTCGCGATTCGGCAACTCCCGGTTCCTCCAGAGCGTTGCGCACGGCCCAGCACATTCAGCTTAAGTCTTTATGGAATGGGCCATGAAGCACCTTTCTGATCCAGAACCTGTGCCTGGCACTCTTGGCATCCAAGAGAAGGGCGTTAAAAGGAAAGCAGACGAATCGGAAAAGGAGAAATCAGAGCTGAGCTGGTTTGGAATATGTCGGCCGTTGCCCCTCCTCATGGACGTGTTAGCAATGTGTATTACGAGATCATTGCTCCTAATGCAGGAAATGGCACCAGGCACACTAAAGCAGCGTTTCTCAACCTTCCTAATGCCACGACCCCTTAATACAGTTCCTCATGTTGTGGTGACCCCCGAACATAATATTATTTTGTTGGTACTCCAGAACTGTAATTTTGCTACTGTAATGAATCGCAATGTAAATATCTGATATGCAGGATGTATTTTCATTCATTGGACCTAATTTGACACAAATACTCGATATGCTCAAATTGGAATACTGGTGGGGTTGGGGAGGAGATTGATTTTGTCATTTGGGATTTATAGTTCACCTATATTCAAAGAGCATTCTGAGCCCCACCAGCGATGGAATTGAGCCAAACTTGGCACAAAGAACTCCCATGACCAACAGAAAACACTAGAAGAGTCTAGTGGGCATTTACCTTGAGTTTGGGAGTTGTAGTTCACCTACATCCAGAGAGCAGTGTGGATGGATCTGGACCACACTTGGCATTAATACTTAATATGCCCAATTGTGAACACTGGTGGAGTTTAGGGGAAATAGACCATGACATTTGGAAGATGTGGTTGCAGGGATTTATAGTTCACCTATAATCAAAGAGCATTCTGAGCCCCACCAGCGATGGGATTGAGCCAAACTTGGCACAAAGAACTCCCATGGCCAACAGAAAATACTGGAAGAGATTGGTGGGCATTAACCTTGAGTTTGGGAGTTGTAGTTCACCTACATCCAGAGAGCACTGTGGACTCAAACCATTATGGATCTGGACCAAACTTGGCACATATTCTATATGCCCAAATATGAACACAGATGTAGTTTGGGGGAAATAGACCTTGACATTTGGGAGTTGTAGTTACTGGGATTTATAGTTCACCTACAATCAGAGAGCATTCTGAACTCCACCAAATGATGGAATTGAACCAAATTTGGCACACAGAACTCCCATGACCAACAGAAAATACTGGAAGAGTTTGGTATTAACCTTGAGTTTGGGAGTTGTAGTTCACCTACACCCAGACAGCACTGTGGACTCAAACCATGATGGATCTGGACCAAACTTGGCATGAATACTCCATTTGCCCAATTGTGAATACTGGTGTTTAAGGGAAATAGACCTTGACATTTGGAAGTTGTAGTTGCAGGGATTTATAGTTCACCTACAATCAAAGAGCATTCTGAACTCCACCAATGATGGAATTGAACCAATCTTGGCACACAGAACTCCCATGGCCAACAGAAAATACTGGAAGTGTTTGGTGGGCATTGACCTTGAGTTTGGGAGTTGTAGTTCACCTACACCCAGACAGCACTGTGGACTCAAACCATGATGGATCTGGACCAAACTTGGCATGAATACTCCATTTGCCCAATTGTGAATACTGGTGTTTAAGGGAAATAGACCTTGACATTTGGAAGTTGTAGTTGCAGGGATTTATAGTTCACCTACAATCAAAGAGCATTCTGAACTCCACCAATGATGGAATTGAACCAAACTTGGTACACAAAATTCCCATGACCAACAGAAAATACTGGAATAGATTGATGGGTATTAACCTTGAGTTTGGGAGTTGTAATTCACCTACACCCAGACAGCAGTATAGACTCAAACAATGATGGATCTGGACCAAACCTGGCATTAATACTTACTGTATATCCTCGAGTATAAGCCTAGTTTTTCAACCCCCTTTTTAGGCTGAAAAAGCTCCCCTCGGCTTATACTCGAGTCAAGGTTATTTATTATTTTACTCTGGTATTAGTATTATTTTTAATTTCATGTATTATTTTACTCTATTATTATTACATTTACAGTATGATACCCTTTTATTATTAATATTTTACACTATTTATGATTATTATTGCATTTATTATTTTACTTTATTATTATTGCATTATTTTACTCTATTATTACATTTATTATTTTACTCTATTATTACTGTTATTATTGCATTTCCATTATTTTACTTTATTATTATTATTACATTTATTATTTTACTCTCTTTATTCCTGTTGGAAGGATACGTAAGTATATTTACATTGAAGAAGGTTAGAATAATGATTTAATCAGAGTTGGGCAGTCTTATCTCAAATTACAGCTTTATGTAAATATTCAAAAACATTTCACCTCCTGATGCCTCAATTAATGTAATTTTATTGGTATGTATTTTTATTTTGAAATTTACCAGTAGTGGCTGCATTTCCCACCCTCGGCTTATACTCGAGTCAATGTTTTCCCAGTTTTTTGTCGTAAAATTAGGTGCCTTGGCTTATAATCGGGTCGGCTTATGCTCGAATATATACAGTAATATGCCCAATTGTGAATACTGGTGGAGTTTAGGGGAAATAGACCTTGACATTTGGAGGTTGTAGTTGCTGGGATTTATAGTTCACCTACCATCAAAGAGCATTCTCAACCATCTTAATGCCCATGAGATCTCTTCCAACTCTATGATTCTATGATTCTGAACCCCATCAATGATTTATTTATTTATTTGTCGTATCAGGGCAACCAGTCCATTGTATTACATTTCTAACAGAACAAAACAAACAAACAGATGAAAAATACACAAAGTTTGCAAGCTTGGTAGTTGATTAAATGTCCTTTGACCAGTATCTGGCCACTTGGAGTGCTTCTGGTGTTGTCCCAAGAAGGTCCTCCCTTGTGCATGTGGCAGGGTTTAGGTTGCATCGCAGCAGGTGGTCAGTGGTTTGCTCTTCTCCGCACTTGCATGACGTGGATTCCACTTTGTGGCCCCATTTCTGAAGGTTGGCTCTGCATCTCGTGGTGCCAGAGCACAGTCTGTTCAGCGCCTTCCAAGTCGCCCAGTCCTCTGTGTGCCCAGGGGGGAGTCTCTCATTGCGTATCAGCCATTGGTTGAGGTTCTGGGTTTGTGCCTGCCACTTTTGGACTCTCACTTGCTGAGGTGTTCCAGTGAGTGTCTCTGTAGATCTTAGAAAACTATTTCTAGATTCAAGTCATTGACGTGCTGGCTGATATCCAAACAGGGGATGAGCTGGAGATGTCACTGCCTTGGTCCTTTCACTATTGGCTGCTACTTTCTGGCGGATGTCAGGTGGTGCGATACCGGCTAGACAGTGTAATTTCTCCAGTGGTGTAGGGCGCAGACACCCCGTGATAATGCGCCATGTCTCATTAAGAGCCACATCCACTGTTTTAGTATGGTGAGATGTGTTCCATATTGGGCATGCATACTCAGCAGCAGAGTAGCAGAGTGCAAGGGCAGATGTCTTCACTGTGTCTGGTTGTGATCCCCAGGTTGTGCCAGTCAGCTTTCGTATGATATTGTTTCTAGCACCCACTTTTTGCTTGATGTTCAGGCAGTGCTTCTTGTAGGTCAGAGCACGGTCCAGAGTGACTCCCAGGTATTTGGGTGCGCTGCAATGCTCCAGTGGGATTCCTTCCCAGGTGATCTTCAGAGCTCGGAATGCTTGTCTGTTCTTGAGATGAAAAGCACATGTCTGTGTTTTAGATGGATTAGGGATCAGCTGGTTTTCCCTGTAATAGGCAGTAAGAGCACCTAGAGCTTCGGAGAGCTTCTGTTCAACCATCTCAAAGCTCCCTGCTTGAGCAGTGATGGCACGATCATCAGCATAGATGAAACTCTCTGTTCCTTTTGGCAGTGGCAGGTCATCTGTGTAGATGTTGAACACGGATGGAGCAAGCACGCTCCCCTGAGGCAGGCCGTTCTTCTGTTTCCGCCATCTGCTTCTCTGGCCCTGGGACTCAACAAAAAAGCTCCTGTTTTGTAGCAGGTTTCCTATGAGGCGGGTGAGACGGTCGTCCTTTGTGATATTATACATTTTTCTCAGGAGGAGGCGGTGGATGACAGTATCATAAGCCGCTGACAGGTCTATGAAGACAGCTCCTGTGATTTGCTGCCTTAGAAATATATGTATCTGATGGTCTTTGGTGACTCACCCCCAGGTTGAGAAACGCTGCACTAAAGCAAACTCTTCCAAACTCTGGCTATTTCAACGTTAGCCAACAATGATCAAGTAGAGATTCATTAAAAAAAATGTAATCACATTGGTTGAAAGAACAAGTCAGGTCTCCATCTCGGGCCGTACAATGTATATCATGCTAATCCATTTGTGTCACTTTGCTTTTTGTACATTCCCTTTCAGGAGATTTTTTCCCTCTCTTCTGATTTACAGAATTTGTGTTTTGCACACAGCTAAACAACACTCTGGTAACGTATACGCTACTTTGCACTGTAGAAGAAGTCCAAAATGTCAATGCTGGTGCCTAGGAAACAGACATTGTTTTCCCGTCCTGCAGCAAGCCTTTTCTGTTTCCAAAACTGCCCCAAAAAAGCCTGTTTCTCAATAAATATCACACGAGAAGCTCAACAATTTGACTAATCCAATCAACTGAGATTAGGTTGGACTTGTATTTGAATCAGCGAGAAGGTTACAGCCCCAGAATATGTGAAGCAATAAAGAGAGTGCCTCTGAACATGTCAAGGGTGTCTTTCTTTTTTATGATTCAACTGCCACAATCAGCTTTATGTGAAACTAGAAAGTACGAGGGTTGAATGAAAAATAATGCCTCCACTTTCATTACTTGGGTTTGGATGGGAATATTTTAATAAATCCAATGCAGAAATAATCCTCAGAAGGTGCTATTATTATTATTATTATTAACTTTATTTATACCCTGCAAAATCTCCCGAAGGACTCGATGCGGCTTACAAAGGCCAAGGCCGCCGCCAACAACAACATACAATACACAGTAAAACTCATAAGCAAATAATAAAACATAAAGCAATCAATAAAACAATGACACAGTGCTGTTTAACTGCCACTATTCATTTTTCCACATACTGTACATAGACATCTCCAAGGTCATGTGGCCGGCATGACTACATGTCTCATGTGCTATTCTAATAATATAATATAATATAATATATATTTTATAAATTTATTATTTATTTTTATTTATTTACCTTACTTATATACCGCTGTTCTCAGCCCGAAGGCGACTCACAGCGGTTCACAACAAATACAAACAGCAAAAATTCAGTGCTACAGTTTAGAAACAGTTAACAACCTAACACATTACACAATTAATAAACAGTTACTACAATACCCATTCACTGTCGTCTCGTCATCAAAAACATGTTCCAGATTCGTCATCCATTGTTCCATTCCAGTGTTCATTATAATATTTATAATAATATAATGTAATGCAATATAATACTAATAATAACATGATATTATAATTATATATTTATATTACATGTAATATTACTAATAATATTACAATATAATTGGTATAGTACAATATAGCAATATTTAAAACTTATATTGTACTATGCTAATAATATAATATATTGTATGTATATATACCTTGTAAGCCGCTCTGAGTCCCCTTCGGGGTGAGAAGGGCGGCATATAAATGTCGTAAATAAATAAATAAATGGAGCACTGTTACTTTACCACCAAAGCAGTACCTATTGCTCTACTCACATTTGCATGTTTTCAAACTGCTAGGTTGGCAGAAGCTGGGATTAACAACAGGAGCTCACGCAGCTGCTCAAATTCAAAACTGTGACCTTTCGGTCAATAAGTTTAACCCACTGCGCCACCGGAGGCTTCAAGCAGTTTGGTTTTTTTTTTGTTGTGTCAGGAGCGACTTGAGAAACTGCACATCGCTTCCGGTGTGAGAGAATTGGCCGTCTGCAAGGTTGTTGCCCAGAGGACACCCAGATGTTTTTGATGTGTTACCATCCTTGTGGGACGCTTCTCTGATGTCCCCACATGAGGAGCTGGAGCTGATAGAGGGAGCTCATCTCTCCGGATTCGAACCTGCGACCTGTTGGTCTTTAGTCCTGCCAGCACAGGGGTTTAACCCACTGCTCCACAGGGGCTCCATAACAGTTTGATAATAATAATAATGATGATTATGCGTTTGCATATTTGCAGTCTTCCACACATACCTGGCCAAGGACAGGTCCCAAAGGCGGTCCCGGAACGGCCTGTCCCGCTCGGATGATGGCCCGGATGACATTTCCAGGGTCCACCTTTTGTACGGTTTTGGCTGCACGAGAGATCTTCGACATGGCTTCGATTCAGCCTGCAGGGATACAGTACCTGGATTGGAAAGAAGAGTAAAAGACTTTGGGAAGACTGGATCCTATCAATCAAAACATTTATTTCGGTCATTGACCAGCACAGGAAATAGTGTCACATTTCCATACAAACCTGGCATGTTTGGTACATTAAAAATATAAATATAACTACTAAAAACACAACATGGGTGAGGGAGCAGAAGGGGGAACAGGGTAAAAACATACAATGCCCAGATCCATCACCAAATTGTAGATTCAGGGAAGAAGATTACTGGACACACAGTTGACTTTTGGAACTAGTCATCCCCTGGCGGATTGTGTATGCTGCTGCACAGAACTTTGCGACATTGTAGGTTGTAGCTGAATTAATATCTGCAAGTAGCAGGGAGGTATAAAATTGTCCTGAATGGCCTGGGTGCTTGTCTATCAGGGGTAAGATAAGCCTGGCACGGGTATCCCTGTAGAACGGACACTGAAGGAGCACATGTTCTATTGTTTCTACATGACCCGAGTCACAGGGGCAGAGTCTCTCTGGGAAAGGGATCTTCCGGTAGTGGCCTTCGAGTACAGCTGATGGGAGAGCGTGGCATCGGGCCAGGGTGAAAGCCCTTCGATGAATAGGAACCTCTAAGTATGTTAAATATGCCATAGGGGAGGCAAGGTATCTGCTGTCTTCACTGATAAGGAAGCTTGGAGCCGAGGCCAGATCTAGTTGGCGCTCTGTGTCTGTGATACGTTGTTTAATAAGTGCTTTGGCTTGATTCATTCATTCAGTCGTCTCTGACTCTTCGTGACCTCATGGACCAGCCCACGCCAGAGCTCCCTGTCGGCCGTCACCACCCTCAGCTCCTTCAAGGTCAGTCCAGTCACTTCAAGGATGCCATCCATCCATCTTGCCCTTGGTCGGCCCCTCTTCCTTTTGCCTTCCACTTTCCCCAGCATCATTGTCTTCTCTAGGCTTTCCTGTCTCCTCATGATGTGGCCAAAGTACTTCAGCTTTGTCTCTAGTCTCCTTCCCTCCAGTGAGCAGTCGGGCTTTATTTCCTGGAGGATGGACTGGTTGGATCTTCTCGCAGTCCAAGGCACTCTCAGAACTTTCCTCCAACACCACAGCTCAAAAGCATCTCTCTTCCTTCGCTCAGCCTTCCCTAAGGTCCAGCTCTCACATCCGTAGGTGACTACAGGGAATACCATGGCTTTGACTAGGCAATGGATCTTGGTTGCCAGTCTGATGTCTCTACTCTTTACTATTTTATCGAGATTGTTTAATAAGTGCTTTGGCTTGATTGTAATCCATAGCGAGTAGTAGACCTGGAGAAAGTCCCAATGAGGAGATTTTGGATGCTACTGCCTGCTTCCATGTGGATTGGAAGTCATCCTCCATCGTTAGTGGGGCAAGACCAAGGGGTGCATGGGATAGTCTGAGCCAGAAGTTGAGTATGGCCACCCACACCCTGGCCTCCACTCTCATAAAACCCGTCTCTAGTCGCAGGGTGGCATTAGAAACACATTTAGGTACCTGCAAGGCCGATCTCAGAAACTTGGACTGGACCAGCTCTAATGGGGCAAAACTGGGGAAGGGGCCCAGCTGAGCACCATACAAGAGTTGGGCTAATGACTTGGCTTCAAACAGCTTGAGCGCTGCCGGTGTGAAGTGGCCCCCTCTTGTCCTGAGATATTTAAGAATGGCAATTGAGCTCCCCTGCGCGGTGTTGGATACTTGATCCTCATGAGCTCTTCTGCTACCATTAGATTGGAAAACTACACCTGGATATTTGAAGGATGTAACTTGTTCAATTTTATGACCATCTATGCTCCAAGAGTAAGTCCTGGGCCTATTAGCGAAAGCCATGATTTTGGTTTTATTGTAATTGAGTTGGAGCTGATCTGTGTTGCAATGTTGTATTAATGCTCTCAAAGCTCTTTTGAGCCCAATGGGTGTTCTAGAGAGGACAGCAGCATCATCTGCATCAAGCAGGATGGAGATGTGTCTTCCCGCCAGCTTTGGGGGGTGGAAGTCCATGTTTTGAAGCTGGTCCACTGTGGAGTTTATATAGAAGTTGAACAGCAAAGGGGCCAGAATGCAGCCTTGCTTGACACCCTTGCATGTTTCAACAGCCTCAGTGAGGTGGCCCTGTGGATTGCATCTTACTTTGAGTGTGGTCTTTTCGTGAAGTTGGCGTATTAGATATAGTAGACGGCGATCAATTGTAGAACTCTCCAGTTTTTCCCAAAGTTTAACTCGCGAGATGGAATCAAATGCTGCTTTAAAGTCAATAAAAGCAGCATATAGTGAGGTTATGTTTTGGGAGGAATATTTTTCCACAAGGTGTTGCAGCACTAGGCACTGATCTATGGTGGATCGACCTTCCCTGAATCCAGCTTGCTCCTCAGCTAATATGCTTTCTTGTTCCAACCAATCTTGGAGTTTAGGAGAAAGGAGGTAAATAAACAAAAGGAAAAGGAGGAAACAAAGAAACAAGACACGGAATGAGGAGGAAAGAAAGACAAAAGGGAAGCGTTGAAGATTATTATTATTATTATTATTATCATTATTATTATTATTATTTTAAAGGTATTATTATTATTATTACTATTATTATTATTACTATTATTATTATTATGCAGTGCCCTGACATGTGTTGCTGTGGCCCAGTCTGGTGATCTGGAAAATGAAGTCATAAGAAAATGTTGAATGTATTGTCGAAGGCTTTCATGGTCGGAATCACTGGGTTGTTGTAGGTTTTTTCGGGCTATATGGCCATGGTCTAGAGCAGTGGTTCTCAACCTGGGGTCCCCAGATGTTTTTGGACTTCAACTCCCAGAAATCCTAACAGCTGGTAAACTGGCTGGGATTCCTGGGAGTTGTAGGCCAAAACACCTGGGGACCCACAGGTTGAGAACCACTGGTCTAGAGGCATTCTCTCCTGACGTTTCGCCTGCATCTGTGGCAAGCATCCTCAGAGGTAGTGAGGTCTGTTGGAACTAGGAAAAAGGGTTTATATATCTGTGGAATGACCAGGGTGAGACAAAGGACTCTTGTCTGCTGGAGCTAGGTTTGAATGTTTCAACTGACCACCTTGATAGCATATAATGGCCTGACAGTGTCTGGGGCAATCTTTTGTTGAGAGGTGATTAGATGTCCTTGTTTGTTTCCTCCAACAATTGGGTCACACCGTTTACACAACACCCACACACAGAGATAGATATCTACATAAAAACTCCAACCATCACCCAAGTCAAAAAAGAAGCACCATTAAAGCCTGGAAATAAGTAAATAAATAAATATTTTGGCATATGGAGTGTTCATGCAAAGTTTGGTCTCGATCCTTCATTGATTTGACTCCACAGTGCTCTCTGGGTGTAGGTGAACTAAGACTCCCAAACTCAAGGTAAATGCCCACCAAACCTTTCCCTTATTTTCTGTTGGTCATGAGAGTTCTGTGAGCCAAGTTTGGTTCAATTTCATCGTTGGTATAGTCCAGAATGCTCTTTGATTGTAGGTGAACTATAAATCCCAGTAACTACAACTCCCAAATGTCAAGGTCTATTTTCCCCAAACTCCACCAGTATTCACAATTGGGCATATTGAGTATTCATGCCAAATGTGGTCCAGATCCATCATTGTTTGAGTCCACAGTGCTCTCTGGGTGTAGGTGAACTACAACTCCCAAACTCAAGGTCAATGCCCACCAAACCCTTCCAGTATTTTCTGTTGGTCATGAGAGTTCTGTGTGCCAAGTTTGGTTCAATTCCATTGTTGATGGAGTTCAGAATGCTCTTCGATTGTAGGTGAACTATAAATCCCAGTAACTACAACTCCCAAATGTCAAGGTCTATTTTCCCCGAACTCCACCAGTATTCACAGTTGGGCATATTGAGTATTCATGCCAAATGTGGTCCAGATCCATCATTGTTTGAGTCCACAGTGCTCTCTGGGTGTAGGTGAACTACAACTTCCAAACTCAAGGTAAACGCCCTCTAGACTCTTCTAGAGTTTTCTGTTGGTCATGGGAGTTCTGTGTGCCAAGTTTGGTCCAATTCCATCATTGGTGTAGTCCAGAATGCTCTTTGATTGTAGGTGAACTATAAATCGCAGTAACTACAACTCCCAAATGTCAAGGTCTATTTTCCCCAAACTCCACCAGTATTCACAATTGGGCATATTGAGTATTCATGCCAAATGTGGTCCAGATCCATCATTGTTTGAGTCCACAGTGCTCTCTGGGTGTAGGTGAACTACAACTCCCAAACTCAAGGTCAATACCCACCAGACCCTTCTAGTGTTTTCTGTTGATCATGGGAGTCCTGTGTGCCAAATTTGGCTCAATTCCATCGTTGATGGAGTTCAGAATGCTCTTTGATTGTAGATGAACTATAAATCCCAGTAACTACAACTCCCAGATGTCAAGGTCTATTTCCCCCAAATCCCATCTGTGTACATATTTGGGCATATGGAATATTCATGCCAAGTTTGGGTCGAGATCCATCATTGTTTGAGTCCAGAGCGATCTCTGGCCGTAGGTGAACTACAACTCCCAAACTCAAGGTGAACTACAACTCCCAAACTCAAGGCCAATGCCCACCAGACCCTTCCAGTATTTTCTGTTGGTCATGAGAGTTGTGTGTGCCAAGTTTGGCTCAATTCCATCGTTGGTGGAGTTCAGAATGCTCTTTGATTGTAGGCGAACTATAAATCCCATCAACTACAACTCCCAAAATGACAAAATCAATTTTTGGACTGAAGGACATACATTGGGTTGTTAGGTATCTTACGTCCAAATTTGGTGTCAATTCGTCCAGTGGTTTTTGAGTTCTGTTAATCCCACAAACATTAGATTTTTATTTATATAGATAGATATAGATATATAGATAGATTATTATATTATATTTTTATATTATGATGACCTTCCCTGGGCCCTCTTCCTCCCTCAACCCCAGTTGGTTGCTTTAACTTCTACTCACTGAAAGCATTTACTCCTTCTTCCTGAATGCCGCCATCTTGGGTTACGGAAGCGGGGTCAAAGGCGCAAAGCACGCCGGGAAGCTTTTGAGCCGCGCTAGGAAATCAAAATGGCGCCCGTTGCCATAGCGACCAGGGAACTCGGCGAAAGGGAGGAGAGAGCAATGCAGGCCCTTCCACTCACTCCCATTGAACAAACTCCTGGGAGTTGTAGGCCCAAACAGCTGGAAGGCCGCAGTTTGAGAAAGCCTGATTTAATATTTCCTTGCAATGTCTTCCCACAATTAGTTTGAACTAATTAATATTGAAATAGTCTCTCTCTTTTTTGCTTTTTTACAAAATTCATAAGGTTGTGGGTGAACTACAACTCACCTCGTGCCAGGCTAACCATAGAATCAAAGAATCAAAGAGTTGGAAGAGACCTCATGGGCCATCCAGTCCGACCCCATTCTGCCAAGAAGCAGGAATATTGCATTCAAATCACCCCTGACAGATGGCCATCCAGCCTCTGTTTAAAAGCTTCCAAAGAAGGAGCCTCCACCACACTCCGGGGCAGAGAGTTCCACTGCTGAACGGCTCCACAGTGGGCCATCCAGTCCAACCCCATTCTGCCAAGAAGCAGGAATATTGCATTCAAAGCACCCCTGACAGATGGCCATCCAGCCCCTGTTTAAAAGCTTCCAAAGAAGGAGCCTCCACCACACTCCTGGGCAGAGAGTTCCACTGCTGAACGGCTCTCACAGTCAGGAAGTTCTTCCTCATGTTCAGATTGTAGTTTGAAGCCATTGCTCCATTGCGTCTTAGTCTCCAGGGAAGCAGAAAACAAGCTTGCTCCCTCCTCCCTGTGGCTTCCTCTCACATATTTATACATGGCTATCATGTCTCCTCTCAGCCTTCTCTTCTTCAGGCTAAACATGCCCAGCTCCTTAAGCCGCTCCTCATAGGGCTTGTTCTCCAGACCCTTGATCATTTTATTACATTATGATTTTATAATGGTGAAGGAAAACATTATTTTAACTTTCATTACAATTGGCCCAGCCATAGATTTTAAATGTGTGTTGTATTATTGTCATTGTATATTGCTTTTTTGTTTTTGAGTTTTATTTAATTGCGTTGTTGTAGGTTTTTCCGGGCTATGTGGCCATGTTCTGGAGGCAATTTTTCTCCTGACGTTTCGCCCGCATCTATGGCAAGCATCCTCAGAGGTAGTGAGGTCTGTTGGAAATAGGAAAATGGGTTTATATATCTGTGGAATGGCTGGGGTGGGGCAAAGAGCTCTTCTCTGCTGGAGCCTGGTGTGAATGTTTTAACTGACCACCTTCATTAGCATTTGAAGGCCTGGATGAGCCTGGGAAAATGTTCTGTTGAGAGGTGTTAAGATGTGCCTGGTTGTTTCCTCTCTGCTGTTTTGCTGTTGTAATTTTAGAGTTTTTTTAATACTGGTAGTGAAATGGCAGGGAAATAGGTTTTGAGGAAAGGAGAGATAATTACCAAGAGACATCCTTTCTGGAGATTAAGAAAAGGTACGGCTTTATTTCCAGCTGGTGACTCTGGTGGACTCGTGTCCCAAGAAGCAAAACCCAGAGCCCCCGATCAAGGTGCGGACTGGCCTTTTATAGTCTCCAATCGGAATGAAACAAAGAACATACGTCTTCATACAATCATCATCATCCCTACGTCATCCTGGCATCATAAGAATATCAGGTTCCCCCTCCAACATGCAAAAAGCATGTCTCTGTGTCTAGCTGAAGAGCCAGCATGGAGTATTCCCCCTCCCTCTTGGCTGTGCTTACAGTCATCCATCAAAGGGGCCCTCTGACTTGTCAAGAGGCTTCTTACTTAGAGGGGGCCTTCTCGTACCAGCCTGTGTCTTATCTCTCTTCTGGAATGCATGCCCCTTCTGAAGACAAGCAGTTTGCTTGCTGTTAGCATTCTTGCTACACAGAGGGAACTAGATTTTCCTATACATTTAAAGTACATATGATTTTTATGCATAAATCAATCAATAAATATCCATTTTTCCAATAGCTCCTCATCACTCTCACCTCTGCAGGAGTCTACCATGTACCATGCAGCTGTGGACAAGTCTACATAGGGACCACCAAACACAGCATTGCCCAAACACACATCAAGGAACATGAAAGGCACTGCAGACTACTCCAGCCAGAGAAGTCAGCCATAGCAGAGCACCTGATGAACCAGCCTGGGTCATGAGGGGTTTTGTGTACCAAGTTTGGTCCAGATCTGTCATTGATGGTGGTCACAGCGTCTCTGGGCGTAAGTGAATCCAGTTCAATGGTCCAGATCTGTCATTGCACATTGAAAAAACCAAAATGCTCTTCCAGCAGTCACCAGCCAAGGTGGAATCAGGTGTCAAACAGGGATGTGTTATTGCCCCAACATTATTCTCCATCTTCATTGCTATGATACTTCATCTTGTTGATGGGAAGCTTCCCACTGGAGTGGAAATCATCTATCGAACAGATGGCAAGCAATTTACCTCAGCAGACTGAAAGCCAAAACCAAGGTTACAAATAACATGTTATAGAATTCCAATATGCTGATGACAATGTCGTATGTGCGCATTCAGAAGACCAACAAGCCACTCTAAATACCTTTGCAGAAGCATACGAGAAGCTTGGCCTGTCATTGAACATTGAGAAAACCAAAGTGCTCTTCCAGCAGTCGCCAGGCAATCCCTCTCCAATGCCAGAAATACAGCTTAACGGCGTAACATTTGAAAATGTGCACCATTTCAACTCCCTTGGCAGCCACCTCTCCAGAAAAGTCAACATTGACACTGAAATACAACACCGCCTGAGCTCTGCAAGTGCAGCATTTTTCCGAATGAAGCAGAGTGTTTGAGGATCGGGACATCTGTAGGCAGACCAAGCTATTATCCTCCCAACCCTGTTATACGCACTATAAAAGGAACTGAAGGTACATGGGGAAATTAGTAGTTATTTTCTGTCTTGTGTGTGTAGTAGCAATAAAGCTGGCTACGTCCACCTGGAATGTACTAGTTAACTGCTAAAAACTTCTAGCAGAAACTGACATAACACCAATTTCCCCATGTACCTTCAGTTATGACAGACTAGCCACCCCCTGCCATGCATTGCTGTGGCCCAGTCTGTGTATATGTGTTTTGTGTGTGTATGTGTATATATGTGGTTTTCTGCATGCATTGTAATGTACTTTTTATTTTTTGGATTTTTAAGTTTCTTCTGTGTTTTTTCAGTGTTTTTCTGAGTAATGGTCACTCGTTGGCCTGATAGGTTTATTGTGTCCAAATTTGGTGTCAATTCGTCTAATGGTTTTTGAGTTCTGTTAATCCCACAAACGAACATTACATTTTTATTTATATAGACTAGCTGTCCCCTGCCACATTGCACATGGGGGTTCGGTGTGGGAAGTTTGGCCCAATTCTATTGTTGGTGGGGTTCAGAATGCTGAGATTGTAGGTGAACTATAAATCCCAGCAACTACAACTCCCAAATGTCAAGATTCTATTTCCCCCAAACTCCACCAGTGTTCACATCTGGGCATATTGAGTATTCGTGTAGAGTTTGGTCCAGATCCATCATTGTTTGAGTCACTCGTTGGCCACGAGTGATATCCACAGTGGTATATCCACAGTGATCTCTGGATATAGGTGAACTACAACTCCAAAACCAAAGAACACTGCCCACCAAACCCTTCCAATATTTTCTGTTGGTCAGGGAAGAACTGTGTGCCAAGTTTGGTTCAATTCCATCGTTGGTGGGGTTCAGAATGCTCTTTGATTGTAGGTGTACTATTAATCCCAGCAACTACAACTTCCAAATGATAAAATCAATTTTATGAGTGAAAGACATGCATTGTGTTGTTAGGTGTATGCTGTCCAAATTTGGTGTCATTTCGTTGAGTGATTTTTGAGTTCTGTTAATCCCACAAACGAACATTACATTTTTATTTATACAGATTGTTCTAGCCAATGCAGAGAAGAGGAAAACTGCGATATTGGGAATGGCTTGACTAAGAAGTAGCCAATGTCCTGATTGGCTACTTCTAATTTTCTGACCAAATGGTAGACGCCTATGACTTTATAGGGGGTGAGTCTCACCTGTCCGTTGAAACCTGTTTCCAAGTGGTTGGAGATCGTTTCGTGTGTGAATTGGGCAATTTGCTTTTTTCCTCCCTCTCAACAGAAAACTGAGTGAAGTAAATACAAACATTATGGTAGTTTTGTCCTTTTGTTATTCCTGGGATCTAAGGCAGACATGTCTTTGCATCCTGAGCCCCATTTACACTCAAATAGGAGTCTAGATTCAGGGAAGTCCTGCTCCCCCTCTATTCTATTCTGCCTTGGGCAAACCACACCTGGCATCACACTGTGTCCAATTCTGTTGTGAACCGCTGTGAGTCGCCTTCGGGCTGAGAACAGTGTATAAGTATATAAGTAAGGTAAGTAAGTAAATAAATAAATAAATGAAGATGTTGACTCTAAGCTGGAAAATGTCTACAGGAAGAGGACGACTCAAAGGATCAAGGGTCTGAAGGACAAGATCTATGAGGAGCGGCTGAAAGAGATGGGCACGTTTAGCCTGCAGAAGAGAAGGCGGGGAGGAAACATGATGAGGCCCATGTATAAATATGTGAGGGGGAGTCATAGGGAGGAGGCATTGTGGCTCAGTTTGAGCCCGAGTTTCCTCAGGATGAGGAGGAGGATGGGTTACAGATTTCTGAACATGTCCCTGTTGTTGAGGCAGACAGTGTTGATATTGAAGACGAGACGGCGTTTCAGTTTCCCAGGGAAAGGAATGTTGTTTTAGATCAGTGTTTCTCAACCTGGGGGTCGGGACCCCTAGGGGGGTCGCGAGGGGGTGTCAGAGGGGTCGCCAAAGACAATTAGAAAACACAATATTTTCTGTTGGTCATGGGGGTTCTGCATGGGAAGTTTGGCCCAATTCAATCATTGGTGGAGTTCAGAATGCTCTTTGATTATAGGTGAACTATAAATCTCAGCCACTACAACTCCCAAATGTCAAAGTCTATCTTCCCCAAACTGCACCAGTGTCCACATTTGGTCACACTGAGTATTCATGCCAAGTTTGGTCCAGATGCATCAGTGCTCTCTGGATGTAGGTAAACTATAACTCCAAAACCCAAGGTCAATGCCCACCACACTCTTCCAGAATTTGTTGGTGGTCACGGGAGCTCTGTGTCTCAAGTTCCGCGTTGGAAGTTTGGCCCAATTCAGTCATTGGTGGAGTTCAGAATGCTCTTTGATATTGTAGGTGAACTATAAATCCCAGCAACTACAACTCCCAAATGACAAAGTCAATCCTCAACCCCACCAGTATTCAAATTTGGGCGTATCGAGTATTTGTGCCAAATGAATGAAAATACATCCTGCATATTGGATATTTACAAGATGATTCATAACAGGAGCAAAATTATAGTTGTGAAGTAGCAATGAAAATAATGTTATGGTTGGGGGTCACCACAACATAAGGAACTGTATTAAGGGGTCACGGCATTAGAAAGGTTGAGAACCACTGTTTTAGATGATGGTCATGATTTGAGTGCCTGTGGATTCCCAGGCTGACCAGTCCCAGGATAGTGAGTTATTCGGCCTTGAAGGTGATGGGGATTTAGTTAGGGAGGACCGTTTGCAATTAAGAGTACGCCGAAGTTCTCGGCTTGCTAACAAATGGTCAACGTAATGCTTTCATGCTAGGAAAGCTTATTTGATGATCTGATTGCAGTCAACCCTTTGTCAGTGCAACTTTGCTTATACCCTGTTAACTTCTTTGGAATTGTGTCGGCTTTTGGTTCTTTGTGACTTTGGTTTTGATCTTGGTTTCTGGGGACTTTGTCATGCTGCCATGGATTCTTGTTTGACCCCTGCTTGTGGATTATACTTCGTGTTATTTACCTTTGGACCTTGGAAACTCTGCCTTTGCATTTAAAACTCTGTTTTGGCTATTGAACTTTTGCAACCTTATTTCTATGTTTTTGATTTTGCTTTTTCTTCAATAAACTACAAAACCTACAGCCTTGGTGTGTGGTGGTGTTCTGAGCAAGGTGAATCTGTCCTGAGTTGCGACAGGAGGGAGGAAGCTTGTTTTCTGCAGCCCTGGAGACTAGAACATAGAACAATGGCTTCAAACTACAGGAAAGGAGATTCAACCTGAAAATGAGGAAGAGCTTCCTGACTGTGAGAGCCGTTCAGCCGTGGAACTCTCTGCCCTGGAGTGTGGTGGAGGCTCCTTCTTTGGTGGCTTTGAAACAGACGCTGGATGGCCATCTGTCGGGGGTGCTTTGAAGGCGATTTTCCTGCTTCTTGGCAGAATGGGTTTAGACTGGATGGCCCACCAGGTCTCTTCCAAATCTAGGATTCTATGAAATGAGGTTGGATTTTAAGGATATACTAGCTTTCCCTGCCATGCATTGCTGTGGTCCACCTTACCTCCCTCTTTCTCTCCTTCTTTCCCTCATTCCCTTTTCTTCTTTCCTTCTCTCCTTCCTTCCTTCTCTTCCTCTTTCCTTCTTCCTTTTTTTCCCTTTCTCTTTCTTCCTTCTCTGCCTCTTTCCTTCCTTTGATCTTTGCTTCCATTCTTCCTTTTGTCTTTCCTTCCCCCCTCTTTCTCTTTCTTTCTCTTCTTCCTTTGCTCTTCTTTCCTTCCTTTTCTTTCCTTCTCTCCTTCCTTCCTTCTCTTCCTCTTTCCTTCTTCCTTTTTTCTTTTCCTTCCCTTTCTCTTTCTTCCTTCTCTGCCTCTTTCCTTCCTTCCTTCCTTTGGTGTTTGCTTCCATTCTTCCTTTTGTCCATCCTTCCTCCCCCCCTCTTTCTCTTTCTTTCTCTTCTTCCTTCGCTCCTCTTGTCTTCCTTTTCTTTCCTTCTCTCCTTCCTTCCTTCTCTACCATTTCTTTCCATCCCTCTTCTTTTCCTCTTTCTCTCTTTTCTTCCTTCTCTACCTCTTTCCTTCCTTCCTTCGCTCTTTGCTTCCATGTTTCCTTCTCTGTTTCCTTCCTTCCTTCGATGTTTTTCCTCTTCCTTGATTGGGCCCGCCGCCTAGGAGGCTGCAACCACCGCGTCGCTCGGCGAGGCCTCGGTTGTTATGGCAGTTCCGCCGGAAGTCCTGGGAGGAAGACTGACAGGCGAGGGAGTGGAGGTGCGGGAAGGGGTGGGGTGGCGAAGGAAGGGGGCGTGACTTTCCGGAGGGGCGTGGGAGGAGGGAAGGATTGAGTCTGGGCGCGAAGGGGTGGCGAAGGGAGGGGGCGTGGGTTGCGCAGGGGGGGGCCTGGGCGGCGGAGGAGGGAAGAATTGAGTCTGGGCGGGAAGGGAGGGGGCGTGGGTTGCGCGGGGGGCGGAGGGAAGGATTGAGTCAGGGCGGAAAAGGGCAGGGTGGCGAAGGGAGGGGGCGTGGCTTCCGTGGAGGGGACGTGGTCGGCGGCGGAGGAGGAGGTGGAGGAGGGAAAGAATTGAGTCGGGGCGGGTAGGGTCGGGGCACCGAAGGGAGGGGGCGTGATTTGCGGCAAGGGAGCGTTGGCCGGCAATGTGCGCGTGGCGGGGGACTCGCGCCAGGGCGCTTCAGCGCATGCTCCCTTTGTTTTCGAAATTGTGGGTTTTGTGAAATGTTGTTTGCTATTTTGATGAGATTTTTGCATACCTTGTGGGTTGAGGTATGTGCATGCCAAGTTTGGTGTGTTTTGGGCCAGGGGTTTTCGCGTTTTGCTGTCCTGTTGAACGCCCTTAACAGATTTATATATATAGATTTTGGGTGCCTTGGGCTGTACTGATCATTGCTGTGCGCAAATCATTCATATACATTGCCAAACATGAAATCCATGTTCGATTATCGTAACAGCCTTTTTAAAAATGGCACCCCACAGATATTCTGGACAACTAGATCTTGTATCGTGTAAAACACCAAGAAACTCACTTTTATTGACAAAACATTAAGTATATCTAAGTGTATTTCCTAACTTAGAAGCATACTTGTATACTCTACGAACCTACTGAGGAGTGCTTTGAAAAGCAACTCTTTCAAAACAAGGATAGTAAAACGGGGACTTCAACGAACTAAGAGATTTCTTTTCCTCGTAGAAAAATAAGCCAAGGCATCCAAAGCGATTGTTGGTAAACCAACAACCCCCTCAGCCTCCGACTTTGGTTTTAAAGGACCGAATAGGCAGCAATGCACAGACAACTTATATGAGGCTGAACTAGAATTAAGACGGAAGGCTCTGCTTCTCTTCAATGGCAACATATAACTCGCTTACATTCAGCAGTTACTTGGGAAAGGAGGTGGAATGCCTAGATGTCATGACACTCGCATCAAATAAAAGGGGGTAAAGAAATGCGGCAGTTCAAAATAACATCATGAAATCGTCAAAGAGCGCTGCAGCTGGTATTACGCATATATTTCGAGAGAACGTGATTTCTCCACTTCCAATGGCAGAAGGATGGGAGGGAATTCTGACGAAGAATGGGAACCTTGGATCGCCTGAAGTCACCTGGTTAAGAAAAGAGACAAGAGATCGCATTTAAAAAGCATGGCTGAACCCAACCATTTGCCATGTTTGAACACTGCCCTCCCCTCGTTGCCCAGAAACAGGCCTAGCAAGGCAACTAAAGAGACACATATTTTCTTCAAAATCCAAACTACAAGAAGTGAGTTGAACTTCAGAAGGCACAAGAAGATTCTCTGCAGTTTTTCTAGACTTTCTGTATATATTTCAGGTTTCAATATTAATGTCAAAAATACGTAATATGATTTTACATAGGATTTGTGCTACATTAGAACAGTAAACAGAACAGGCCTTTGATCTCTGATATTGTTAGGTTCTTGTGGGTTTTTTCGGGCTATAGGGCCATGTTCTAGAGGCATTTTCTCCTGACGTTTCGCCTGCAGAATACGCCAAGCTCCTGGCCAAGACGTACCTCAGACAGTTAGCGGTAGCTCCTATGATTTTCACGACTCCTGTGTGGCGGGGAAAGATAACTGCGTTCATACGGTCGATGGCGAGAAACACTTTCCGATCTTTCCGTATAGCGAGAAGAACTTCCTGATCTTTCTCTGTAGCGGGAAACACTTTCCGACCTTCTTGCATAGCGAGAAGAACTTTCCGATCTTTCTGAATAGCGAGAAGAACTTTCCCATCTTTCTGTATATCTCTTACTAGATCCGTTTCCTCTTCTGTCGAAATCGTCGTGGCGGCCATACTCGTACGGTGGGTAGTAATCATCATCCGCTTCTTTCGTTGTATACCTTTTACTGACGGCATGCTTGTCTCTGTAGTCGTCGTCGTAGCTGGAGCGCCGCGGGGACAGACGGACGCGCTCATACAGTGAATGACGAGAAGAGGTTTCCTTGTAACCTGATGATAACCGATCAGGAGCATCCTCATAATCATAGGACTTGCTTCCATAGGAACGAGACTGGGAAGAGTGGGTGCGGCTATGTGAGGCCTCTGGATAGCTGTTGTCTTCCGACTCAGGTCCATTTTGGTATGCTGCCTCCTGCATAGCCTCATCAAACGACACAATTGGATCTGGAAATGTGTCCCCTTCAACGATAGTTTCCAGCTCAGAGTTTTCATTATGCTTACGATCTTTCACAGAGCGTTGTACAACAATGATGCTCCCCATGAATTCCGTTCCATTAAGGTTTTCAATGGCCGTTTTGCCGTCCTCCTCATTGTCCATGTGAACGAACCCATAGTCTGACAAAGCAATAGATAGAAGGTTATCAGTAAGGGACACATAACATTTAATTTCAGAAACCCATTCCTACTTGGATGTGACCTGGACATCAGCCAGCAGCACATCTGCAACACTCAAGTACTCCAGCAAAAAGCATGCGGGGAATGCGGAAGTACTTCATCAGTGTCGCAGATGGACGATGAAAGCGACCGCTCCCATGGCGGCCAGAAAAAGTTAAATGGCCTCTGTCTATGTCTGTATATGTTGTATGTCAAAATTGGCATTGAATGCCATATATGTGTACACTGTAATCCGCCCTGAGTCCCCTGCGGGGTGAGAAGGGCGGAATAGAAAAGCTGCAAATAATAATAATAATAATCTGTTTGGCCGCTGGACAAGGAACCTATGATCAGCTGAGATTCTGCAACTCTAAAGGTCTCAATGATGAAAGGCAGGCCATTGGCAACTAGGAAGGCAGTTTAATGGATGCCTGCCCCAAACATCATTCTAGACCAGCGTCTCTCAACCTGGGGGTCGGGAAAGGGGGTGTCAGAGGGGTCGCCAAAGACCATCAGAAAATACAGTATTTTCTGTATTGTCGAAGGCTTTCATGGCCGGAATCACTGGGTTGTTGTAAGTTTTTCCGGGTTATATGGTCATGTTCTAGAGGCATTTTCTCCTGACGTTTCACCTGCATCTATGGCAAGCATCCTCAGAGGTAGTGAGGTCTGTTGGAAGTAGGAAAATGGGTTTATATATCTGTGGAATGACCAGGGTGGGACAAAGGACTTTTGTCTGCTGCAGCTAGGTGTGACTGTTTCAACTGACCACCTTGTTCCTCGTGGCTTGTTCTCGGTCTTGCAAAGTAAAGACAAAGATCCACCCAGAGGGAAAGTGTTCTTGCCAGACATCAAGGGAACCACTGACCGCAGAGGGAAGCTGATGAGGAAACACAACATACAAACTATCTCCAGACCCACCAAGAAAATCCAACAAATGCTCCGTTCAGCAAAGGACAAGAGAGATCCTCTCACTTCTACAGGAGTCTACTGTGTACCATGCAGCTGTGGACAAGTCTCCAGAGGGACCACCAAACACAGCAGCATTGCCCAGACACGCATCAAGGAACATGAAAGGCACGGCAGACTACTTCAACCAGAGAAATCAGCCATAGCAGAGCACCTGATGAACCAATTATTATTATTATTAAACTTTATTTGTACCCCGCTAGCATCTCCTGAAGGACTCGATGCGGCTTACAAAGGCCAAGGCCTCAACACAACAACAACAGACAATAATAATAAATGCAAAGCAAATTAAAAACATAAGCAATAACAAAACAAAACATTACACTATTATGCAATAAAACCAGGGCCGGGCCAATGAAGGGTACAGGTTAAAAAAGTGCTGGGTGTGAAAGGCAGTATGTTGGAGTTCTGGGCAAGTGCAATGTGCTGACAGCCTTAAGCTCTAATAAAGTGCTTCTGGGATGTAGTGCTGGAGATTATCCTATTCTGGCAAGGCACATTGGAATAGCCAGGTCTTCAAGTTCTTCCTAAAGACTGCCAACGTGGGTGCTAGTCTAATGTCTTTGGGGAGGGTGTTCCAAAGTTGGGGGGCAAGCTCAGAGAAGGCCCTGTCCCTCGTCCCCACCAAACGCGCCTGCGACGCAGGTGGAATTGTGAGCAGGGCCTCTCCGGATGAACGGAGGGAGCTGTGTCTAACCTGGACACAGCATATTATTTGAGAACACAGAAAGGCTGGACCTCTCTCACAACCACCATGTCATACTACAGACTACAGAGAAGCCATTGACATTCAGGAAATTAACAAAGACTTGGCTATGGAATGCGGCCTTTGATGACCTGGCTGTGTAATTGTGATGATGACGATGTTGTATTGTAATATGTTTTTAACATGTAATGATAATGCATTGTGTGGTTTGTATTTTGTATATGAACACATGTTGTGAACCGGATCTGAGTCCCTCCTGGAGGTGAGAAGATCGGTATAGAAAACTTTTAAATAAATAAATAAATACACAAGCATGTGGACAATTTCAACAGAATGGAGGAAACCATGAAAATGAACAAATTCTGGCTACCAGTATTAAAAAAAAACTCTAAAATTACAATAGCACAACAACAGAGAGGAAACAATCTGGGACATCTTATCACCTCTCAACAAAAGATTGTCCCAGGCACTGCCAGGCCATTATATGCTAATCAAGGTGGTCAGTTGAAACATTCACACCTAGCTCCAGCAGACAAGAGTCCTTTGTCCCACCCTGGTCATTCCACAGATATATAAACCTAATTTTCCTAGTTCCAACAGACCTCACTACCTCTGAGGATGCTTGCCACAGATGCAGGCGAAACGTCAGGAGAGAATGCCTCTAGAACATGGCCATATAGCCTGAAAAAAACCTACAACAACCCAGTGATTCCGGCCACGAGGAAGTGTGTGAAGGGGTTGGGGGAGAGGGGGTTGCACCACACCTTTGACGACGTCGCACTCGGTGACGAGGCCGAAGTTCTGGAAGAGCGGGAGGAGGTCTCCGGCGGCGCAGTCCTCGGGCAGGCCGCCCACGTAGATCTTGATGCCCCGGAAGCGGTGGAGGGAGAGGCGGTGGCCGCGGAATTCCCGCCCGTGGAGCTCCCTCCGCGCGCGCTGCCCCGCCGCCTCGTCGCGCATGCGCACCGTGGCGCAGAAGGTCCTGAGGGAGACGTCGAGCACGTCGCCGGGCCCGGTCACCGCCTCGAAGTGCCGCCGCAGCTGCTCCTCCCTGGTCCCGCGGGGGACGTTCTGCACGAAGAGCCGCACCGAGCGGCTTGGGAAAGGCCACATCTTACCCGTTTTGGCCGGAGGAGGGAGTCGGGCAGCGAGAGAGAGAAACGCCTGCTTTCTGAGGGGGAAAACGGCCGCTTCCTCGCTTTACGGCCGTGCGCATGCGCGTGGCTTCACCTTCTGAGGCGGGAGGGGAAGCAAAGAGACCGCGCAGGCGCAGCAATCGCTGTTGCCTTGGAGAAAAGCAGAGGAAAGAGACTGCGCATGCGCGTCCCTTGAGGGCGGAGGAAGAAAGGAGAACGCGCAGGCGCAGTAGCCACTGCTCTCCTCAGTGGCTCAAGCCGCGCGTATATGCAGAGCCGTAAAGCTTGATGGACTGAGGGTCGCAACGGCCACTGCGCCTGCGCATTCTCTGTCTTTCCTCCGCCTCACGGAATGCGCATGCGTGATCAAAAGCGAGGAAGCAAAGCTTGATGGACTGAGGGTCGCAACGGTGCGCCTGCGCATTCTCTGTCTTTCCTCCTCACGGAATGCGTATGCGTCATCCCTTTCCAATCTTTTCTCCAAGAGCTACGCCTGCGCAGTCTCTCTCCTTCCCTTCCCGCCTTGTTGAGGGAAACCCTGCGCATGCGCAGGGCTGTAAAGCGCAATCCACTAAGGGCCGCAGCAGCCACTGCGCATGCGTGGTCTTATTCCATTCTTCGAGCGGCAGCAGCGAGCACTGCGCCTGCGCAATCTCTCTCCCTTCCCGCCTTGGAGAGGGAAGCCCTGCGCATGCGCAGGGCGGTAAAGCGCAATCCACTGAGGGGCGGAGAGGCCAATGCGCATGCGTGGTGTTTTTCCATTCTTCAAGACGCAGCAGCGATTACTGACTGGTTGCCCTGACAGGACAAATAAATAGCAGCGATTACTGCGCCTGCGCAGTCTCCTTCCCTTCCCGCCTTAGAGGGGGAAGCCATACGCATGCGTAGGGCCGTAGAGCCCAGTCCACTGAGGGGAAGCAGCGGCCACTGCGCATGCGTGGCCTCTTTCACGTCTTCAAGAGGCAGCCGCGATTGCTGCGCCTGCGCATTCACTATCCTTTCCTTCCCGCCTTGGAGAGGGAAGCCCCGCGCATGTGCACGGCGGTAATGCGCCTACTGCGCATGCGTGGCCTCTTTCGCGTCTTCAAGAGGCAGCAGCGATCGCTGTGCCTGCGCAGTCACTCTCCTTCCCTTCCCGCCTTGGAGAGGGAAGCCCCGCGCATGTGCAGGGCGGTAAAGCGGTTACTACGCATGCGTGGTCATTTTCCATTCTTCAAGAGGCAGCAGGGATCGGTCTCCCCTTCCCGCCTTAGAGAGGGGAAGCCACGCGCATGCGCAGGGCCGTAAAGCACAATCCACTGAAGGGAAGCACCGGCTACTGCGCATGCGTGGTGTCTTTCCATTCTTCAAGAGGCCGACTGCGCATTCCGCCGAGGGGAGGGGGGGAATCCACGCACATGCGCAGTGGTGTAAGGTGCAATCCACCGAAGGGCAGCAGCGGCTACTGCGCATGCGTGGTCTTTTTAAATTCTTAAAGAGGCAGCAACGATCGCAGCGCCTCAGAGGGTGAAGCCACGCGCATGCGCAGGGCCGTAAAGCGAGGAAGTGGTCGTTTTTCCCCTCAGCGAGCAGTCGAGCGCCCAGAGCGCAGGCGCAGAGGCAGTTGGCGGCCGGGAAGAGCTCTCCTCCTTCCTCTTCGTTCGTTTTGTCTCCTTCCTTCGAGAGAAAAAAACAGGGGAAGATGCCGCGGCCGAACCCGAGCGGCTCGGTGCGGCTCTTCGTGCAGAACGTGCCGCGGGGGACCTCGGAGGAGGCGCTGCGGCGGCACTTCGAGGGGGCGACCAGGCCGGCCGACGTGCTGGACATGATCCTGAGGAACACCTGCGCCACGGTGCGCATGCGCGACGAGGCGGCGGGGGAGCGCGCGCGGAGGGACCTGCACCGGCGCCCCTTCCGCGGCCTCCGCCTCTCCGTCCAGCGCTTCCGCGCCATCAAGATCTACGTGGGAGGCCTGCCCGAGGCCTGCGCCGCAGAGGACCTCCTCCCGCTCTTCAAGGAGTTCGGGCCCGTCGCCGAGTGCGTCGTCGTGAAAGGTGTCGTGCCCCTCCCTCCCTCCCCCCCCTTCTCTCTTCATAATAATCTATCTATATAAATCTGTTAGGTTGGTTCAACGGGACAGCAAAACTCTAAAACCCCCAACGAAACTTAACCAAAATTGCCATGCCCATAACACAACCCACAAGGTACAAACATATCTACTCAAAATGAAAAACAACACAACAACACACTCACAAAACGGCAAAACAACTGAGCATGCGCATTGGCGCCCAGCCGCAAGTTCCCTGGCGCGCACACACAGCCTTCCGGCCAACAATCCCTCTGCGGAAGCCATGCCCACTCCAAGCCCCACCGCACCGCTTCCCGCACACACATACCCCCTGCCGCACGCACACACACAACCCCACGCTCCATCACTCCCCCCACCCTGCCGCACACACACACGCAACCCCACGCTCCATCACTCCCCCCGCCGCCGCACACACACACGCAACCCCACGCTCCATCACTCCCCCACCCCAACACGCAACCCCCCCCCCGCCGCACACACACACGCAACCCCACGCTCCATCACTCCCCCACTGCCGCACACACACACGCAACCCCACTCCCCCCGCCGCCACACACACACACAACCCCACGCTCCATCACTCCCCCCACCGCCGCACACACACGCAACCCCACTCCCCATCCCCCCCGCCGCACACACACACACGCAACCCCACGCTCCATCACTGCCGCACACACACACACAACCCCACTCCCCCTGCCGCCGCACACACACACGCAACCCCACGCTCCATCACTCCCCTGCCCCAATCTTACCTCCTTTTACTTCACGCCACCTCCAAACCCCACCCCGCCCCTTCCCGCCCTGTCAAAATCTAGGAAAGACAGGAAGGAAGGAAGAGAAAGGGAGGTAAAGAAAAAGGGGGAAGGAAGGAAAGTTAGAGAAAGAAGGAAGAAAAGGAAAGATGGAAAAGAGAGACAGCAGAAGAGAAAGAAAAAGGGGGAAGGAAGGAAAGAGGTAGAGAAGGAAGAAAGGAGAGACAGAGGGAGGGAAAGAAAAAGGGGGAAGGAAGGAAGGAGAGAAGGAAGAAAAAAGGGAATGAAGGAAGGAAAGAGGGAGTGAAGGAAGGGGAAGATGTAGAGAAAGAGGGGGGGGAAGGAAAGAGAGAAAGAAGAAAAGAGACCAGAAGAGAAAGAAAAAGGGAAGGAAGGAAGGAGAGAAGAAAAAAGGGAATGAATGAAGGAAAGAGGGAGTGAAGGAAGGGCGAAGATGTAGAGAAAGAGGGAGGGAAGGAAAGAAGGAAAGAGAGAAGGAAGAAAAGAGACCAGAAGAGAAGGATACCTTATCTTACTTTGTTTCCTTTCTTTCTTCCCTTCCATCATATTTCCCTTTCTTTTCCCTTCTCTCCTTCCTTCCCTTCCATTCTTCCTCTTTCCTCCCCTCCCTTCACAGCTTTCCCCATTCCCTTCCTGCCCTCTTTTTTCTTTCTTACCTTTTTTCCCTTTCTTTCCTCCCTATCATACTTTTTTATTTATCCTTTCTCTTCTTTCTTTCCTTTCCCTTCTTCTCCTTTCTTCCCCTCCTTTCACAGCTTTCCTCTTTCCTTTCTCTTCCCTCCTTCCCTCTTTTTTCTTCCTTTTCTTTTTATATTTTTATATATTATAATTATATTTTACATGATAATCATAATTATATATATTATATATATAATTTTACATTCTTATATTATAATTATATATTTATATTACATGTAATATTACTAATAATATTACAATATAATGGTATAGTACAATATAGTATTATTTAATACTGATATTATGCTATGCTGATAATATAATATATTGTATGTTTATATATATTGTAAGCTGCTCTGAGTCCCCTTTGGGGTGAGAAGGGCGGCATATAAATGTTGTAAATATTTATTTCCTTCCTTCCTTCCTCTCATACCTTTTTATCTTTCTCTTCTTTCTCTTTCCCTTCCCTCCTCTCCTTCTCCATTCCTCCTCTCCTTTCACAGCTTTCCCCCTTTCTCTTCCCGCCTTTTTTCTTTCTCCCCTTTCTTGCCTGTCTTTCCTTTCCATCGCATTTTCTTTCACTCTTCCTCTTCCCCTCCCCTTTTTTCTTTCCTGACTCACTCTTATACACATGTCACCCAGCAACAGCCTACCCGCATTAGTCCTTCTTTGCCAGCCTTTGCGAGGGCTACTTCACCTCCCCACAGCCAATCCACTTCATCCTTTTTAATTTCCCTCAATTTTGGGCCCAAGAATTGAGAGTGTTTTTGTTTTAAAATTCAAACCTCACAATTACTTTAAGTGGGGTCTTGAAGGGTATCTGTCAATGCCTTGGTCCTTTCATGACAGGCTGCTATTTTCCTAAGGATGTCAGGTAGTGTAATACCAACTAAACACCATAAATTATCCAGAGGTATGGGGCGTAGACATCCTGTGATCGGGCCTCATTTTTCATAAAGAGCCACATCCACTGTTTTAACGTGGTGAGATGTATTCCACACTGGGCATGTGTATGCAGCAGCAGAGTACCAAAGGCAGATGCCTTCATTGTGTCTGGTTGTGATCCCCAGGTTGTGCCAGTCAGTTTTCGTATGATATTATTTCTACTACCCACTTTTTGTTTGATAGTCAAGCAGTGCTTGTAAAACAGAGCATGGTCCAGAGTGACTCCCAGGTATTTGGGTGTGCTGCAATGCTCCAGTGGGATTCCTTCCCAGGTCATCCTCAGACCTCGAGATGCTTGACTGTTCTTAAGATGGAAAGCACACGTCTATGTTTTAGATGGATTAGGAATCAGCTAGTTTTCCTGTAATAGGCAGTAAGATCACCTAAAGCTTCAAAGAGCTTCCCCCCCCCCCCCAATCATTTCAAAGCTCCCTGCTTGAGCAGTGATGGCACAATCGTCAGCATAATAATAATAATAATAATAATAATAATAATAATAATAATATATTATAGAGAAGGACCTAGAGATCTAGAGATGTCTTCGATTAAAAAGATAACATGAAAGTGGAGGGTTGACTGCAAAGGAATTCAGAGTTGAAGGTTTGGTGTAGAATAGAGACTTGAACTCGAACCAAACTAGGTCTTAGCATTGGCCTCTGTGCTGGGAATCCCTTTTTAAAGCTATTATAAGGGTTAGAAGTGTGCAAAGCAGTTCAAATCCGATTAGGAATTCATTTCAGAAATTCTGAAGGCCCCTGCTTCATTTTGTAAACATTCGGAGAGGGTCAGGGGTCATCCTCAGAGCTCGAGATGCTTGTCTGTTCTTAAGATGAAAAGCACACGTCTGGATTTTAGATGGATTAGGAATCAGCTGGTTTCCCCTGTAATAGGCAGTAAGAGCACCTAAAGCTTCAGAGAGCTTCTTTTCCACCATTTCAAAGCCCCCTGCTTGAGCGGTGATGCCACGATCGTCTGAAGCAGCTAGCAATATGTGAATTAAAACCTAAACCATACAAACATTAAAGTTTGGTCCAGATCCATCAAGCCATGTAGGTACCTTTGCGGTACAAACATATATGCATACTTTGACTTTTAGATAGATACATGTTCTGCACAACCTGGCGTTTTTAAGCCATGGTCCAGGGCAGCCCTGTGTGAACAGTATTACACCAGTCCATCCAGGATCTGTGGGCAAGTATAGGAGTTGTTGAAAGGGTTCCAATTTGGGTCACAGACTTGTTTTTAAAAGGATGAAGACAGGCTCTCCAATGTTTCAGAGACAAATGCGTCAAAGTATGGACAGGGTGGGAGACATAAAGAGCTCCATTTTGACTTGAGCCCACAAACATATTGGTAGCCAGGACAAGCAATCTAATGCCAAAGGTAAATGTTTGTACCTTCCAGGCTCCATTCAATATTTCCCACTAGCCGAGGTTTCTCACTATCACGCCCTGTTTCTGCAGAGCAGCTTATGGAATATAGTGTTTTGGTCAGGAGATTAGAATTATTCAAATGAGGAAATGGTAAACACCTATGACTTTATAAGGAGTGAGTCTCACTTGTCCGCTGAAATGTGTTTTCCAAGTGGTTGGAGGGTGTTGTGTATGTGAATTGGGCAATTCGCTTTTTTTTCTCCCTCTCAGAACAGAAAAGGGAGTAATGTAAATACAAACATTATGGTACTTTAACCCATTGGTTATTCCTGTGTAAGACAGACATGTCTTTGCATCCAAGGCTCCATATGCGGTACCATTTAAAATCTGGATTATTTGCTTTAAATTAAAATATGTGGCAGTATAGACGAATACAGGGTGAGGCAGCATAACTTCCTTTTTTCAAAACTTAATAAAACCCATTGTATGAACCAGATTTTTTTTATAATGTAGGCGCATACCTAAAGGGTTTTTTTAACGTAGTTTTGAAGATCAAATTAGGTAGGTGACGTCCCCCATTCTCCATACACTGAGTAAACCGATTTCTGGCGTTTGTCATGAATAATAGAATCCAAGAGTTGGAAGAGACGTCATAGGCCATCCAGTCCAACTCCCTGCCAAGAAGCAGAAATATTGCATTCAAATCACCCCGACAGATGGCCATCCAGCCTCTGTTTAAAAGTTTTCAAAGAAGGAGCCTCCACCACACTCTGGGGCAGAGAGTTCCACTGCTGAACGGCTCGCACAGTCAGGAAGTTCTTCCTCATGTTCAGATGGAATCTCCTTTCTTGTAGTTTGAAGCCATTGTTTCACGTCCTAGTCTCCAGGGAAGCAGAAAACAAGCTTGCTCCCTCCTCCCTGTGGCTTCCTTCCACATATTTATACATGGCTATCATATCTCCTCTCATCCTTCTCTTCTTCAGGCTAAACATGTCCAGCTCCTTAAGCCGCTCCTCATAAGGCTTGCCAGCTTAGCAGGTGTTATGTTGGCAATTTCTTCCTGGATGTTGGTCTTCAAATCTTGTAGGGTCCTTGACGGTTTACATAAACACAGGATTTCAAAAAAACCCCATTGAAAACACAAGGGGCCAAATCTCGAGAATGCACCAGCCATTCCAAATCCGCTCGAAAAGTAGGCCTCAACGGCAAAAGTATGCTTCTTACTGTTCCAACGCATGATGGCGACTGAACTGTGTCAGGACAAAACTTGATACTCCTGCCTCTCGAATGAGACCACTAGCGCTCTGCTACGTCTTCAACCGACTGAATGGTGCGCATTTTAAAAAAGGAAGTTATGCTGCCTCACCCTGTATAATCCAGTTCAATGCAGATAATCTCAATTTTATGTATCAGTGTAAATGAGGCCCTAGTCCTTACGTTTGCACTAAGGTTCGTAAATCTAAGACAGTGGTGTCAAACTTGTCTGAATCATCTGGCCCTCCGGACTCTAAATCCCAGAATCCCTAGTCAGCTTTTCAAATGCTAGGAACTCTGGGAGCTGAAGTCCAAAACACCTGGAGGGCCACACATTTTTATTGCAGTTGATGAGTGTTCTTACATCTCTCTTGAAATTATATGCATGTGTTTATGTATATAGCCAGGGCTTTTAAAGATTTGTGTGTTGTTTGCTACTGAAAGAATTAAATGATGCAGAATTTCTCCTCTCCTTGGGTTAGCTAAACAGACTTGGAAGTGTCTTATGGACTGTGGGTTCAGGGTCTAGAACAGGGGTCGTCAAACTCTTTGAAAGGGTCACAGTCCCTCAAAGTGTTGGAGGGCCAGGTTATAATTTGGAAAAAAAAATGAATGAATTCCTATGTGCACTACACACATCATATTTGTAGTGCAAAAACCATCTAAAAATAATACAATAATTAAAATGAAAAACAATTTTAACAAATATAAATGAATCAGTATTTCAATGGAAAGTGTGGGCCTGCTTTTGGCTGATGAGATAGGATTGTTGTTGTGTGCTTTCAAGTCGTTTCAGACTTAGGTTGACTCTGAGCGAGGGCCGGGTAAATGACCTTGGGGGGCTGTATCTGGCCCTCAGGCCTTAGTTTGAGGACCCCTGGTCTAGAATGATGTTTGTGGCAGGCATCTAGTAACTGTGCTTTCCTAGTTGCCAATGGCCTGCCTTGATCATAGCTGCCTTGTCCAGCGGTCAAACAGATGTGCTGCTGGCTGATGTCCAGGCCACATCCAAGTAGGAATGGGTGTCTGAAATAAAATGTTATGTGTTCCTTACTGATAACCTTCTGTCTACTGCTTTGTCAGACTATGGGTTCGTTCACATGGAGAATGAGGAGGACGGTAAAGCGGCCATTGCACAACTTAATGGAACGGAACTCAAGGGGAGAAGAATTACTGTGAAACGCTCAGTGAATGATCGTAATCCTAAGGTCCGCAAGCAGAATTCTGGGCAGCAAACTGAATTTCAAGGGGACATATTTCTGGATCCATATTACGGAGACGAGCCACCTGAATCGTTTGATCATGACTATCGACCCCAGGCGACAGCATACCGAAATGGGGCCGAGTCGGATCCCTACAGCTATATGGAGGCCTCACGCGGACGGCCCCACTCTGCCCAGTCCCGTTCCTATGGAAGCAAGCCCTATGACAGCCACAGTGCTGTTTATGAGAATCAGGATGCTTATGACATGCAGGATGATATGCCTGCTTCCTACTCTCCACAGTTCTTTGATTCCATGTCAGCACATGACAGAGCATCAGTCGATGTAGCATACCGGTCCCCTCCTGATCGGTTAGCATCAGCTTACAGGGTGCAGTCACCACGCAGCGGATTGCCTCGTTCTCCTCAACGCGCAACTTCATCTTTTGGAGAATTGTGGCCGGAAACCACTTCCCGCCACTCGCTGTATGAACGTGTGCGTCTGTCCCCTCCGAGCACCAGCTACAAGGAGCACTACAAAGACGAGTATGCGGTTGATAAAAGGCGTATGGTGAAAGAAATGGATGATCGTTACGGCCCGCCATATGAGTATGTTCGCTTCTCCCCACCACGCAGAAGTGGTGACAATTTCGACAGAAGAGGAAACGAACCAAGTAAGAGATATACAGCAAGATCGGGAAGTGCTTCTCACTATCCAGAAGGATCAGGTAGCGCTTCTCGCTATCCAGAAGGATCGGGAAGTGCTTCTCGCTATCCAGAAGGATCGGGAAGTGCTTCTCGCTATACAGAAGGATCGGGAAGTGCTTCTCGCTATACAGAAGGCTCAGGAAGTGCTTCTCGCTATATAGAAGGATCGGGTAATGCTTCTCGCTATACAGAAAGATCAGGAAGTGCTCGCTATACAGAAGGATCGGGAAGTGCTTCTCACTATACAGAAAGATCTGGTAGTGCTCGCTATCCAGAAAGATCGGGAAGTGCTCGCTATACAGAAAGACCAGGAAGTGCTCCTCGCCATCGACCATATGAACGCATTTGTCTTTCCCCGCCACGTAGGAGTCGTGAAAATCATAGGAGCTACCATTAACAGTCTGAGGTATGCATCGGGTCTGTTTAGAGATCTCTTTCCATGTCCAGAGGGGTTAGATATAAGTCTTCACTTTGCAACTCTTTACTTGTGAAATTTGGGATAGGGAAACAGATGTACTCCTGCCATAACCCCTGACCATGGATTCTGCTGGTTCGGGTTGATAGAAGTCGTAGCCAAAAATCACTGGAAGACATCAAGTAGCACACACTTGCTCTAAAGTGGCATTAGTTTGAAAAAACTTATGAGAATTTGTTGCTTGGGATGGGGAGGCAGGTTCTCTTGATGGTCTTTCTACTATTTTCACATGCAGAGTCCAATTTTTTTTAAAAAACGCAAAATGTTTATATACAATAATAAGAAATAACTGCATTTTTTAATAATCAAGAACTGGGTCTGAGCTACTCTAACATGCATCTCTTCTAAGGTTTCAAAAGAGGGGAAAACTCAATCACTAAATTTCGCCTGACACACAAGCAGAGAGAGATCTCAAAGCACACAGCACATGCTCTCCATACTAAAGTGTAATTGACACAAGCAGAGAGAGATCTCAAAGCACAAAGTGTAATTGACACACGAGCAGAGAGAGATCTCAAAGCACACAGCACATATTCTCCATACTAAAGTGTAATTGACACACAAACAGAGATCTCAAAGCACAAAGTGTAATTGACACACAAGCAGAGAGAGATCTCAAAGCACACAGCACATGCTCTCCATACTAAAGTGTAACTGACACACAAGCAGAGAGAGCTCTCAAAGCACACAGCACATGCTCTCCATACTAAAGTGTAATTGACACACGAGCAGAGAGAGATCTCAAAGCACACAGCACATGCTCTCCATACTAAAGTGTAGTTGACACAAGCAGAGAGAGATCTCAAAGCACACAGCACATACGCTCCATACTAAAGTGTGAGAAGGCAGAAAGCAGATTCAAAAAGGCTTGCAGTAGAAAAACATCTATTTAAAACAACCAATCAGAATGAGAGAAGAAAGGAGAGAAGAAATTAGATGCATTCAAATTGTCATACAGGAGACATGGGGGAAGGGAATTCCCTCAGCCTATACTAAACTAACTGCTCCTCGTTGAGGACTTGAGACTTGGGCAGTGTGGGGTTGAATTCCAATAATAATGTCATACTGGTTTCTGAGGAATATGATAAGAAGCTCCAGGAGTGGAAAATCCCTTGACATCGTGGTGTGTGCACTAGATCTCCAGGTACAGCAGAGAAGTTAGACCTTTGAGCCTTCTTTACTAGAACGGCAAATAATACTAATAACCAGCTGAGCTGACCATGAAATTGTCGTTCTTAAAAAGCGAATGTAACTTCCTCGTATCTAAATTATAGAAATCGAGTCCTGCATTTGATGCCTCGTATTTCCAACTGTAGAGGGCAGCCATGACGTATTTGGACCCGGTGAAATAATAGTTTCATTTGAGCATTCAATTCTGGGCAGAGTCAAGCCTCTGTGTCCATCGTCATTGGACGTAATATAACATTGGATATACTGTGGCCCGGACCTCGTTTTATTGCGGTTTCTAATGGAAGGCTCGAAATTCTTATTCAAAGGCCATCTTCCCCGGATTAGAAAAACTGCCGAGAAACTTCCTGTGCCTTCTGAGGCTCAACTCGCTTCTCATAAATGGGATGTCGAAGAAAAGAAGTGTCTCTGCTAGGCCTGTTTCTGGGCAACGAGGGGAGGGCAGAGTTCGAAAATGTGACAAACGGTTGAGTTCTGCCATGTTTTTTAAACGTGATCTCATGTCTCTTTTCTCAACCAGGTCCTATTCTGACTTCAGGCGACCATTGATCTCATCTCCAAGGTTCCCATTGCTCAGCAGAATTCCCTCCCACCCTTCTGCCATTCAAAGTGGATAAAGCACGGTGTCTCAAATCGAAATATATGCAATACACCAGTGCCCGTGTCGAATCACTTGGTTATCAGGCAACAGCTTTCTTGTTAGTTGTCTTTGCAGAAGATTCTAGGGTGGGACTGTGTGCTTTTTCCGCCATCTTTATGACATAACACGAGCTACAGCATTTTTTTACATTTTCAGGACGTTCTTTAGAGTCACTGCATTTCTTTATCCCCTTTTTTGCCATGAGTGTAATGACATCTAAGCATTCTAGCTCCTTTTCTGAGTAACTGCGTACGTGAGTGATATGTCATCATTGAAGAGAAACAGCCTTTTGAGCTACTTTCCGTCTTAATTCTAGTTCAACTCCATATAAGTTGTTTGCATTGCTGCCTATTCAGTTCTCTAAAACCAAAGTTGGAGGCCGACAGAATTGTTTGTTTACCAACAATCACTTAGGATTCCTTGGCTTATTTTTCTGCGTGAAAAAGAAATCTCTTCGTTCATTGCATTCCCTATTTTACTATCTTTGTTTTGAAAGAGTTACTTTTAAGAGCACCCGTCAGTAGATTCATGCATTGTACAAATACGCTTAATTTTTCCATCAATAAAAGTGGTTTTGTGGGTGTTTTCCAAGATCTGGCTGTCCAGAATATCTGTGGGGGTGCCATTTTGGGGGAGGCTGTTACTACAACCGAACATGGATCTCGTCTTTGGCAACATATATGAATACGAGAGATTTGCACACAGCAGTGATCAATCTCAAAAACTCTGGAAGATCTTAGAGTTGAAATCAAGCTCACAACAACAGTATGCTGAAGACAAATGATTTATTTCCTTTCCTCAGTCCCTGAAAGACATTTCTAAAGTTTCCCGCTCAAACACCCTGCAATATAACAGCCCAACTCCCATCCACCCAGTATAAGACTGTAGGTTTTATATAGCAATATTAAATGATCACTCACAAGCCGGTTTTGCTTGGAAATGAATATATTGCTTGTATCTCTGCAGCAAAGAAAGACACTACTGACTTTTTCCCACCACCACTTCCTTTTATACACCTTTCCTGCCCATCTCTCCCCCCCCCCCCCCCTCTTCTCAGTTTCCTTATTAGAGCTTGTTGCTTCACAAGTTCCTCTGCTGGCTTCAAAATGTCACAGAGAGAAAACTGAGGCAGCCAGGATGATTCAGCCAGGATGTCACGGAGGGAATTTGTGATGTCTTCACGCCGTCAGAAATTGACTCCTGACACCCAGAAGTGGCCAAACACTGTGTCCACAGTCTGTTAAGTGAAATTTCTACTTCCCTCACAAAGCAGATATATTATTTACACTACCTCCCCCCCCCCCCTTCCCTTCTTAATGGCAGAGAATCAAAGCAGCCAGTCCCAGGATGATACAGTGATCCTAACAAATCAGCCCTTGGCATCACAGCAGTGGACCAGGCTTTCGCACAGCTGGTTAATCACCAGCAGCAATAGATCTTACCAATTGAAAGGTTGGCAGTTCGAAGCCCAGGTTGGGGTGAGCACCCAACCTTCAGCCCAGTTTTTTGTCCACCAAAGCAGTTCGAAAACAGCTGTGAGCTGAGAAATTAGGCACTGCTTAAGTGGGGAGGTATTTTACGGCACCATAAATGCAAAATGTGGCGGCTCGTCTTCTCGCCGGAGTGCCAGCGAGGAACCCCAATACTCCCAACAGCTGCACTGGCTTCCGATTGAGTACCGGATTACTTTCAAGGTGCTGGTACTAACCTTTAAGGCCTTATATGGTCTGGGGCTGGCGTACCTGAGGGCCCGCTTATCCCCCTACCAACCCCAGAGATTACTTCGGTCCGAAGACCAAAATTTGCTTGAAGTCCCCAACATCCGGACTTATCATCTGTCTTCTACTAGGCAGAGAGCCTTCTCGATCGTGGCCCCTTATTTATGGAATGCCTTGCCGGTTGAAACTCGAACCATCCGAGACCTACTTGCTTTTCAGAAAGCCTGTAAAACTTTTCTTTTCCGGCAAGCTTTTGACGGGTGAACAACCCGGACTATGCCTGTTCTCGCCGCCTATTGCTTTGTTATTGTTATTTTTAAAACTAATTGTATTTTAATCTGCTTCTGTAAACCGCTCTGAGCCAAATTGGGAGTAGCGATATACAAGTTAAACAAAATAAATAAATAAATAAAGGAAATACCAGAACTGCTGGCGATCAAAGGAAGGAGGAAGTCTGGGATCAAGGCTCTTTGTCACAGAGGATGGAGTGACAGCACTCCCCTGTGGCCGGAATCGAGCATGACCTCCAGGACGCCAAAGTTGGGAAAAATGCGGACATAATACCTCCATCTGTTGTCTGTCTTATCTGTTTAACGGCATTGAATGTTTGACGTGTATGTGTTCTGTGATCCACCCTGAGTCCCCTTTGGGATGAGAAGGGTGGAATATAATTGCGTAAATAAATAAGGCAGCAAAAATATATCCTCAAAATCCAACCTTCTAATTGGGAGGTAATGTATTAACCGAAATATATTAATTAGAAAACATGCAAATGTGAGTAGATCAATAGGTACTGCTCCGGCAAGAAGGTATGCTGGCCACATGACCTTGGAGGTGTCTATGGACAAAGTCGGCTCTTCGGCTTAGAAATGGAGATGAGCACCACACCCCAAAGTCAGACATGACTGGACTTAATGTCACGGGACAACCTTTACCTTACCTATATTAAAACATGTCCAATCACATTGTGCAAAAGACATGTAGAAAAACATAATGTCCAAAATTGTGTGTGTGTGGGGGGTGGGGGTGGGGGATCATTAAAAAAGTGCACAAACCTCTCCTTCCTCAGAAGGACAGCATCATTGGAGATTGGGTCTGGCCATGAAAGGCTTCGACAACGCATTAGAGATCTTCATTCTTTCGTGCAAAACGAAATAAGCAAAGATTTGGGGCTGAACGAGCCTTGCGATTTCCGAAATACGTTTCTCTTTTTTAAAAGTCTCATTTCAAAACAGAGCTTGTCTTGACGTATAATTAAAATATAATTATGTAGAATTAATATCTGGTCCAGCGTTCTCAAACGGACGTCGTTTGATGTTCAAAAGCGAAAGCGGCAAGGTCAACTTGGCTAGGTATTGTTTTCTTGAACCACAATAAAAATGGAACAATAATCCTTGAAACAGTGAATTTTGCACACAGCTGCAAAAAAGGACTTACGATTTTTCTCATTTTCAGAGTTTCATAGAGTTGGAAGAGACCTCATGGGCAATCCAGTCAATCCCATTCTGCTAAGAAGCAGGAAAATCACTTTCAAAGCACCTCCAACAGATGGCCATCCAGCCTCTGTTTCAAAGCCTCCAAAGAAGGAGCCTCCACCACACTCCGGGGCAGAGAGTTCCACTGCTGAACAGCTCTCACAGTCATGTTCAGGTGGAATCTTCTTTCCTGTCGTTTGAAGCCATTGTCCCATTGCATCCTAGTCTCCAGGGCAGCAGAAGACAAGCCTGCTCCTTCCTCCCTGTGACTTTTCACATCTTGATACATGGCTCTCATAGAATCATATAAGAGTTGGAAGAGATCTGGCTACCAGTATTAAAAAAACTCTTAAAATTACAACAGCACAACAACAGAGAGGAAACAAACAAGGACATCTAATTACCTCTCAACAAAAGATTGCCCAAGGCACTGTCAGGCCATTATATGCTAATCAAGGTGGTCAGTTGAAACATTCACACCTAGCCCCAGCAGACAAGAGTCCTTTGTCCCACCCTGGTCATTCCACAGATATATAAACCCTTTTTCCTAGTTCCAACAGACCTCACTACCTCTGAGGATGCTTGCCATAGATGCAGGTGAAACGTCAGGAGAGAATGCCTCTAGAACATGGCCATATAGCCCGAAAAAACCTACAACAACCCAGTTGGAAGAGACCTTGGAAGGTCAGCAAGTTCAGTAGTTTGGCGGCATTTTCGTTCTATGTAAATGGTTAATCCGGCAACACGGGAACAAAGACATAAGGAAAACACTGCCTAGTAAAAGTAAATAATAGAATCCTAGAGTTGGAAGAGACCTCATGGGCCATCCAGTCCAACCCCATTCTGCCAAGAAGCAGGAATATTGCATTCAAATCACCCCTGACAGATGGCCATCCAGCCTCTGTTTAAAAGCTTCCAAAGAAGGAGCCTCCACCACACTCTGGGGCAGAGAGTTCCAATGCTAAACAGCTCTCACAATCGGGAAGATCTTCCTCATGTTCAGGTGGTATCTCCTTTCCTGTCATTCGAAGCCATTGCTCCATTGTATCCTAATCTCCAGAGCAGCAGAAAACAAGCTTGCTCCCTCCTCCATATGACTTCTCCTCAACTCTTGATTCCTGGCCCTCATCAGGATTCCTCTCTGCCTTCTCTTCTGCAGGCTAAACATGCCTAGCTCTTTCAGCCACTCCTCATAGAGCTTGTTCTCCAGACCTTTGATCCTTTGAGTCACCCTCCTCTGGACACATTCCAGCTTAGAATCAACATCTCCTTTCAATTGGACACAGCGTGATTCCAGGTGTGGTCTGACTAAGACCGAAGAGAGGGGAGCAAGACTTCCCTGGATCTAGACACTAGACTCCTATTGATGCACGCCAAAATCCCATTGGCTTTTTTAGCTGCAGCATCACATTGTTGGCTTGTGTTTAATTTGTTCCCACAAGGACTCCACTTTATTTTTTCTGCATTTGTCCCCGTTGAACTTCATTCCGTTTAGCTATTCGAACAGTAAACAGAAACGTAAATACGACCAGAATTAATTCTTTAAAATTGTCGATACAATCTCGATACAATGTGATTGCGAGCAGCAAAATAGTCGATACAATGTGATTGCGAGTAGCAAAATAGTTCTTACATGTATTATTGGGGGGAAACTGCAAACATAATGATAAAAGATTAATATTATAACAATATTATAATAATATTAATATTAGTATTTCATCGGCCAAGTTTCGCTTCTAAACAGAGTTCCATTCTGCAGATGGTTTAAAGAAAAGGAGAATCGTAGGGAGGCTGCAAGTTGAAGATGATGACACTTTGATCCCTGATACACGGTATTTGGAGCATAAAAGAACCCCTAATTATCTCCAAATTGGAGTGGAAGAGACATTTATTTATTTATTTACTTTATTTGTATACCGCTCTTCTCAGCCATTAGGCGACTCAGCGCAGTTAACAACAAGCAGCAGCAAAAATTCAATGCAAACATCATACAGCCATTTAAAAAAACAACACAATAATACACTAAGCAATTAACATCAATAACCATCAATAACATCAATAAACAACTCACTAGCGTCTCATAACTAAAATCATAATCCAAGCTCGTCATCCGTTGTTCCGATTCCTATAATTCATTGTAATTCATTGCACTGCCTATTCAAACGCCTGTTCAAATAACCAGGTTTTCACTTTCTTCCGAAATGCCATTAATGAGGGAGCCGATCTAATATCTGTGGGTAGGGCGTTCCACAGCCGAGGGGCCACCACCGAGAAGGCCCTGTCCCGAGAAGGCCCAACCGTGTCTGAGTTGCAGGCGGGATCGAGAGCAGGGCCTCCCCAGATGATCTTAAAGTCCTAGTGAGTTCATAGGCGGAGATGCGTTCGGATAGGTAACTTG